CGGGAAACTTAAATAACTCAATATCAGCAAGCTCGTATGCGCACTTAAGTCACCTAACATTTCCGCCGTCGATTTTGATGATTTCCACCGTATACCCGTATAACAGGGGGGTGCAGGACACTGACTTGCGTGTGAGTTCATTTTAATTGATAATAGACTTAGGCTGCATCTACTCTTCTACCCTTCCCTACTTGGTCCCGCTGTCAAGACAAAGTTAGGAGGACCGGAAATGGAAAAGGGCGCAGGCCCACACATTATGGGTCAACACAACCAGAAGATCACAACGAAGTAGGGGGCGGCTCAGATCTCAACTGAGTGGTAGTGTCATAAAAGCCACATTAAGGAGCCATTGCAGCCTGACTCTCAGTCCCCCGTCAGCCACTCCACACAATATACATTGGACTGACCGCGCGGTCTGAGTTTCCTGTCAGTTGTCAACCTTCAAAGCCACGGCTTTTAGCACACTGTGATAGCTTCAAGCGCGTCAGGTTGTCTACAGTGATGAAAATGCGTTGAATTGTCGATATCACTATCTCCCTCACAGACAGCATCAGGCCACTGTCGGAGCCGGTCGGTTGTCTGATGTAGAGTAAGGCACATACAACAGTCATTAGTTATTCTCTAAGCAGTTTGATCGTTTATGCCCGGTGTAGGTCATCGACGTTTGCTGAGCTGGTCTAAAACTCCTTGAGCGGGTGTAAGCTACCATAGTGAGGCCCGCAAGAAGTTTAGCTATGCTAATTATTGTCTGTTCCAACCGTCTATCTAACTGAAGACACAAAAGTCTCCAGCCTTCTTCCTTCTAGTAGATTTTACCGGTAATACTTCTTTTAATTGCTGTACGCGGTAATGTATCAACGTAAACCTGTTCCTTATTCTCGAAATCTAATACACTTATTTGCGTCCGTCAGGATAAGGCTGGCTTTCAAGGTAGTCGGCTAAAGTCTCCACAATGTGTATGTCCCTCATTTTGACACTCGTTTTTTTTTCTAGATGGCCGAACTCCGCAGCGTCAGAAATCAGTCTCCACCCACAACCTCCAAGAATTGGTGCTATGATGCGGAGTCTTCCCTGACGTGTCTGGCGGTAAGCCGGAAGCAGCCTATGGTGGCTATCGCTGGACGCAACCTTATCCAAATTCTTAAGGTTGGCGAGGAGGGGTTCGTATCGGTAGGTTCCTCGCAGTCTAAATATTTACCCCAACTTCTACTGTCTTCCACGGTCCTTCTAGGAATTCCCAGTTATACGAATTTGTTGGTCTGCTTCTGTGTGAGTAGCACTTCATTCTACCGTTTTTCCTCCTTCTGTCTGAACGATATTTGCAAGAATGACCCCCATGACCAACTATCTTTTCCACAATTATTTAACTTTCCACTTTAGTAGTTAAGTGCAGGCGTAGTTTTTGACCTTCGCACCGTTCTCCTAATCTTTGACGTTCAACAACTATCTATCACCGAACCCCGGCGTTTGTTTTGAAAATGTATGCCCCATATGACCAATTTCTAGTCGGTAGCATTTATTTGCTACACAAAGTAAACCCAGTCGTGCCTGTCTTTCGATACTCCGGCGCGTTAGCATTCGGTCTCAAACTTTAGTAAAGCATCTTATAGAGTTTTCTTATGGCCTGGGAAGTCACTTATAGGCGAGGTTATTCTGTCCTGAAGACTGAATTGACGGGTAATAGCTCGTGGGAAATGAAAAACCCTACGCACAGCACGTGTAAACTCGAGATTTCATGTCATAAGCGTCACTGTACATGTGCCCACCCCCGCCATTTTTATATTTTAGTGACAGTTCTGCTAAGCTACAGTTAACTTAATGCTGAGTAATATTCCCTTATAATTCATTAATAAGTCACTTCTAACTCTAAAAAGTAGCTGCTTTCTTCAAACCCTACATACGAACTATCAGTGCTCTTCATAACAGATGTTCAAATAATTATAACTTCTGATTTTACTCGTGAGCTGCTTAGCTCCTCACATAAACCAAGTCCCAATCCCTCATTATTTTTCAGTTACACAGACTAAAGCATCCCTACCAACACTTGGCTAACACTGTGGCCAACTCATCGGGTTCGTCTTCGAAGCAGAATCTTGCGTATCCGGCCCGTTCTTACAGTATTACAGACGTCGCATGGTCAGATTGCAATGGTTAGCTTTTCAAAATTTCCGTTTTTGAGATGCTTTCTTCACCTTTTACTTTAATTCTTCTTGCTGGCGAAATCTTTCAGCACATCAGGCAGGTACTGCTCTGTATCTCGTAGTATTCACCATTCTCCTCGCCGATGCTGCATTTTATCTCTGATCTTTTGCCTCAATTGTTGAGTTTCACAGACAGAATATTCCTCCTATGCCTTTTTATGTCTCCCCCGATTTGTACGGTAAATAACTTCTGAAAATATTTTTCTTTGTTCTGTGTTTTCAGACAAGCTTGCAACTTCCTCAACTGGTGGTGACCTGCGAATATGGGACATCAGCCGTGGCATGACGCAGAGTAAGTCTGGCATGCAGTGGCTGAGTGTTTAGCTTCGCCCCATTAAAATTCATTAGAAATACTCTCTTTCTCGTTAATTCCTACTTAGTTAATTGTCTTGTTACTTTTAGCTGCGTGTTTCTGCGGTCATAGTCGGACTGTGCACCGAATACATTTTAGTCCCAACGCTCCGAACGAAATCATAACCGCATCGCAGGATGGCACCATAAAGCTATTTGTAGGTTCCATCGTCTCCTCCTTAATAAACGTTATTGCGTCCTCACTATGATCCTGATGTAGCATTAATAAGTATTATAATTAGTAGTAGTAGTAGTAGTAGTATTAGTACGCAACTTAACGTCTTGCCGTGCCTCGAGCTATCATAACCAGCACTTGCGTGGGTTCACAGTAGCAATATATGTGACCGTATTTTTACTACGATGATATGATTGCTTCCTTTTCAAAGTTCCCGACAGCTTCCACTATAAGCCTACTTAGAAAAATGTCAAATGATATTTCTTTTTCACCCTTTTCCACGACGTTTGTTGATATGAAAAGCAATATTGTCTGTCAAGTATTATGAAATAGTTATTTGAGAATTCGCCGGCAATTTCCGTTTGGGGTTTGCGAAAAATTGGTCAATGTCTACTGTCGAAAAATATAAATACGCGAGTTGCCGTTATTTATTGCAACATCATTTTACTTGGCAGGCGCTTTTCATTAGCTGGGTGAACCTTTGGCTCTGAGATTGGATCCGACGCACAGCCATTTTCTTATCCGTAACTGTCACTTCTAGATGCGATGCTCTTTGTGCTCTTCCAGGGTTCGAAAAACCTGATTCAGGCCATGAGGTATCTCTTGGTAAGTGGATATTCCCACCAATTGATTCTGCGTTCGAGACCACGGTCTTCAAGCTGGACCATTCCTCTCGCGTAGTGCGTCTACCGGTATTCCTCACCCCGTCAACACCGATGCCATGTTTTTTACCCTTCGGCATGCGTTTAGCGTCTGCGCACTTAATTATCAGTTATGATTCTCGTCATCAGAGTTTCTGTTCTCGTCCAGTTTCCTCAACTTAATTACATTGACAATTTATGCACCCTATTGTGGAATTCCCGACAGCGTTCTCCCGGCAAACCCGACAGTCCATTGGTTGCATTTGGCAGTTGCAGACTGTGCTCTGTGGTTTAAACGGTTAATCTGTCAAGCCATGCCTAGGCAATTTCTTTGACAGAGGAGACCCTACAGGGTCGCCATTCGTGTAATTTCACAGGCTTGCTAAGCCAGTTTACTTTTTCAGATGTTGAAGGATATCCATTCTCTGATAGCAACTCACTGAAGTAGACTTACTCTTATTATCAGTTGTTGTGCAGTACTTTGTTTCCACGCCTTGCAACAACATACATATTCAACTACCCCCTTATTTGAAAGGGGATGGTTGCTTTCCACAATAATTGCTTGCCGCGCATGTACAGTCTTTCGGAATACTGCTAATTGCATTTCGGGGCACCAGAGCGATTAAGAAGGGATTTTGGCTGTTTGTCTCTCTCTGCCTGATACTTTGAATGTAGGAGTCAGCGGTGTTCATAAGTAATTTCAGATACTCAAAATGGTCAGATTTGAGCAGAGAACATCGGCAAATATTAAGTTTTATCTGCTGCTGTTTTCTGTCTGCTATTACTTGACCTCCGAAAACGCTGTTTATCGCAAACTGGACTAGACGGCTAGACTACTCGCTCAACACATGTTGGGCGGGAGCATTAACTCACTGTTGATAAATCTCGTTTCTGTTTGACCGGCAGATTCTGACAAGCTAGTGGCGCACCGAAGCGATACGAAATCCAATGCATTCACAAACAGTCAATCCAACATGCGTTAAACACGTGCAATGCTTTACAATTTCCCGTCCGGTCGTGGAATCATGCATATTTACATGAATATCCTGTTTTGACAGCTTAAAATTGGATCGACCTCCTATAACGCTGTATGAGAGCATACTGCAAATTCCATACTCAGAAGTACGGCAAATTAAAGTCGATAAGAATAGTCTGTAGAGCTATGTGGGTTTAATATACATAAATAGCTAATATATGCGTGTTAACAAAGTTTGATGGATTACTTCATAGCGATAGGAGGTCATCTATGACGTTACCCATATATGCTTGGATTGCATTCACCTATTGTTTCAAGCGTGGGAATAAACTGACAAAGAGACGACAAATATACCTTAGTTGTCTCATCCGGGCGAATGGATATCATATACAAAGTTATGCTGCGTCACGAAGGATGCCCAATCATCAATCTACGCGCACCCCGCGCATTCACATCAGAATCCTGTTTTGGCTGAAAGGATCGTTGAGCTACAGTGCTTCCAATATTTTTCTCGGACGCCATGGGCTCTTCGCAAGTAAACACTAGCATCGATCTAACATAGGTTACCACCCTAAGAAAAAGCAGCTTAAGTAGTGGACCTCATATACCCCTAGCCTCGGCATTCTGCATTACAGGACCGATGGTATTAGGGGCTTCGTGGATGCATTTTTCGAAGTCATGGTCCCAGTTTCTGTTCTGAACATGCTGTAATGTGAATTAGTTCCCTGAGCAAAAGGTTTCCTGTCCAATCCACCAAACAAACGACTAGCATATTTTTGACAGTCTTCAATCCTTGGCAACAGTAGCTTATGTAGGCCTACTCATTAATCCCTACTCCCTGCATGCTATCCTACGAAAACGGTGGTTATAGGGTTTTATGGGTGGGGAGTTAGGACACGCAGTGGAATATACTTAAATAAATGCTAAATGCATTTTTTATTTTACTGTTTTTAGAAATGTTATTGATTTATATATTTAGATTTTCCTAGTCTGTATTATCGTTTAACTTATTGCGGAAAAACCTTATTATCAAATTGCAGGTTTCTTGAATTTCCCGAAAAATTGAAAGTGGTTGGGAGGTCGTCTACTTCAACTTACCTGAGGTCCAACTTACCGTTCTGGAGTTACATGGTCCGCTGCGCGAAGCGCCGCGCACACCTTCAATTTACATGCGGAACAATAGCCCGCGGAAGCGAAGCGCCGTGCACACCTTCAGTTTGCATGCGGAACAACTTACTCCCGGCGGCCGCGGGAAGCAACTTCGACTACAGTTTTTCACTGTACACTTATTTCTAAAAAAATTCCTTCTCTGCCTATCCTATTTCCGCACCCCTCAAAACTCTATAACCACCGTTTTTACAGGACAAAATGCTGGGGCTAGGGGTATATGGGTGGGCCTACATAAGCTACTTTTGCCCAATCCTTCTTTCTCATCCCTTGAATGATCTGGGTCACCCAGACTGCAGTGGCATTCTACGACGGCCACAATGCGAACAGGCGATGCGAGCCCGAAAATCGTTGGCCTCAGAGAGGCCAAAGTTGTTTAGCTGTAAACGAGCAGGACACACGTATAGCACTGTTTTAATACGAGGTAGGCGGCAACGCTGAATCAATCCAGGTCGCCAGAATGGGTCAGCACACTTCTCTAGTGACAGAAATGATAAAGTTTTCATAGCGTTAGTATAGATACATTTCGGTCGATTCACTTGCCCTCTTTTCTTCTGCTTCTGCTGAAATATACACGTACATCAGTCGTGAAGCGTTGCTCCATTACAGTATCATTTCGTTGTGGCCAACCTGAGGTTAAAGATTGTATAGTATTGAAATCCAGCTTATTTGATGAAATGAAGTCTCCATTTCACCGCTCCACGTGGGTCAGATGTCAATTCTGTAGTTAACAAGTGTTATTGCCACCGTAGAGATAAAGGATCCTTTCTCCATTGTCAGGTTTCCGTTCAAAATGTTTTGTGTTTGTTTTATTTAGACCCTTTACCCCAAACTCCCCGAAACATATTTTTTCCCTCATGTCCCCAGTTTGTATGCTTTGCGTAGCCTGTTAGAAAATGCTATCTTGCGAATAATATCAGCCAGGCTCTGTCCACTCGCCTTTTTATAGGACATTAGGGATCAGGCGCAGGTGTGCACTAAGACATTTCATCAGCGCACCGCCTCCGCCTCGCCGGTTCGTGACGTGGTTTTCTGCCCTAAGAAATCAGTACTACTAGCAGCGGCACAAGAGAACGGTATTGTGAACCTTTGGGATACACGGCGAGAGGATCGCCCATATCGCTCTTTCCAAGGTCATTCCTGCTCCATTTTAAGCATCGACTGGCACCCAGCATGGGATGAAGCTAAGTAAGTTCTCGGCTCTCCAACGCTATCCCCTTTCTTCTTTACAGACCGTCTCCGTTGTCTAGCGGACTAGTTCTATCGGCCAGCTGTCCTAGATGATCTTTTGCCTTATTGAATGCTGAAATTATAATCTCGAGCTGTACGCAGATAATGGGGAGAAACGTGTTCGTGAATACTAGTACATGTGTTTTGGCAACGGTGGATTATTTGAGCCCCCTTAGCCATCACTAACCTCAGGATCGTGTAAAAAAAATTATCTTAGTAGGCGATGTACGGATGGGGCCTCAGCAGAAGAACAACCAAATATGTGCAAGGAAACATTAAAATTAACTAAATTTCCGCAAAATTTATTCTCCTTGGCTTATATATGGCAACAGAATTGCCCGTAATGATATATAAAATAAGCGAAAAACAAATCTAGATAAATCAGATGCATTTGGATAACAAGCATTACACTAAAACAGCTTTGTGCATGTCGTTATATAAACGTAGTAGTTGATATCCAGGGGATTACTCACCATAGATATGAGATAATAAACCAACCCAGACCTTCTAAGACACGCAATAGTTAGCTATGCAGATTAAGCCGAGAGCGCTTACATAACCCACCCTTATCCCTGTTTCTCCCCGAAAGGATTGATCTCCCCATTATACCCTGTGGGGTTGTGCTGGCTGTATGTTGTTGATAGGATGCTTTACTCACTGCTGAGAAAAAACCATAATTTTGCTTACTTAATTTTAGTCGAAACTGGTTGGCTACGGCTGGGTGCCGAGACCACCTAATTAAAGTGTGGGATTTCAATATGCCTCCGCACTCCTCGGTACCCTTCTCAACATCGCACAATACCCCTGCCGTCATCTACTTCACTCGAACCAACAACGTTGGTCAAGTTCGTTGGCGCGTAGGTGCAGTAAGTCAATGCGTTTCGCGTATAAGCATTGTACTTGGCAATTTTTACCAGTAATCATATTTTTTTTAAAATTTTATGTGAATTTTAGCTGTACTCTTTTAGTATCATGTCAAATTTTGGAGTTGGTGTTCCAGTCTTAGAGTCCGCTATCAGCATAAGAGTAGCGATAACATCAGCTACTGCCTTTGCTATTTCCACTACTTCTAATTCTACTACTACTATGAAAATGACTACTATTACTATTACTCCGACTTATACTGCTACAAGGCTACTACGCTATCAATACTCCGAATATTGCAACTACTAAGGCTAGAACTACTACTAACATTATTACGGTTACCATTGCTAATACTACTAGTAGTTCTGGTATCACTAATACTATTACTACTTATGCTACCACTTCTATCATTAGTACTACCATTACTACTAATAAAAGACTACTACCACTAATAACAATAAAAATAAAAATTCTGTTATTACTCCCACCACTATTACTACTACAATCGCTGCTCCTACTATTAATACCACTTCTAAAATACTACTACCACTACTACTAAGACTATATCTTTACGACTATTAGTGTTACTACCATTATTGCCACTGCTGCTATGACTACTGTACTACTACTATTACCACCACCATTACTGTCGCCATTACTGCCCCTGTTTGTTTAAATTTAGATTGCCCTTGCTAGGTTCTCAGCGCGGTTTTCGATTTCCCTCCACTCATCTTAAGCTAATTGTTACTTCTCTAGCTGCATGTTATTCAGCCTAATCGTCTTCTTTTCTTAACTGTCTACCTATTTGATTTTATCTTTGAGTAGGCCACCGACGGCGTCAGTCACAACGGGTTTGAGAGCGTTTGGGTGAAAGTGACAAACTTAAAACCAACCAAACTTGGACAAATTAAGAATCTTTCACCAGTTCAGTCTGTTTAAACACATGATTAAGTGTCATTGATTTGACTTTTACCTACCGGTACTTGTTGCGGGTTGGTACAACCGACTTCAGTTTTCACAAACTATCTTATCAATCGTTCATAGGTTGATCCCCTAAAGCGGTCAAATCGGCTTTTCGAGGTTTTCCTCTTCAGCTTTTTATTTCCTAGTAAACCAAAGGCCTACGCCAGCGGATGCTCGCAACAGCTGAAGCGGTAGTTATATGGCTGGCAAATCCAGTGCTGTGTTGTCAGAAGACGCTGACACAAGCCCTTACACTTCCGTGGCCTACACCGACACCGGGTGACGTTGGCATTTCGCCCCTACCAACTAGCGGCAGTCTCTCAACCAACACGCTGATCTGGCCTACTTGCGCAAACTGACATAGTCCGCAGTGGCCAATCAGCGCCCATGTTAGACAGTTATTGGTTTTTCTACATAATCAAACTTTGATTGTTGTGTACAGCCTTCATTTCCCTGCAAATGTTTGGCCTGATGACAAGTTGCTGAAAACATATGTTTGCCATAAACTGACTTTTAAAACTCGAATGACCAGAGAACATATTCATTGGTGGTGTACGTTCCCTACGTCACAGCAGCATTTTTGAATGCCATCGGCGTCCTAGAACCTAGCTCTCCGCGCCCCATGTCACTTTCTGCTGGGTCACGACTGTGTTTTCAACAGCAGTGGATGTCCACTTACATCGAATGGTGTGGATAGCCAGCAGCTAAATTTATGGAAAGATCTGTCTTGTCTTGGCGTCCGTAGAAATTGTGATGCTTTTCGACAGGCACATTTATGGCAACAGTACAATTTGTGCCCAAACTCGTACAAAATCACAAAATTCGCACGAAAACCCTTGTAATGCACAAACTGCTTATCCCACGCCTCCGAGGTATACTGCATTAAAAAACGTCCGATCTTATAAACAAGCATATTTTGGTTTATAATGTATAATTTCTTCTCTAACAACCAAATTTTTAAATAAAAAACTGTACGCTAGCTCAATTATTTAAGGCTGTATGTAAAAAAATGGAACAAATATAAAAAAAAAATCACATAAAAATGTTGTACTAACCAGGACAGACAAGGTTTCAGGAGCAGTTATCACGGAATTAGACGGACTTGGTGATACAACTGAACGAAATCCTTTGATATTGCACCAAAATCACGATATCTCAGAACGAGGAAGATTAGGCCGAGGCTGTCGAAGGCTAGTTGCCAATATTTCGCAAACATCTCCACAAATAAGTTTTCGTGTCTGACTAGGGGCTTTCAGTGAATGAGACCTCTAGGCACTAGACTATTATATTTACTTTTTTTAGTAACAGTGTCATTCGATGACTCATTTTATTCTTTTTCACCTGTTTTAGAACACTCAGTTGATTTCCAGTTGCAGTCTCACCATTGACTTGAGTATCCACCTCTGGGAGCTGGAAAGACCCTTCATCCCATTCGTTTCTTTCGAGGGTCACACTGATTTGGTTACTTGTACGTCTTTTATTCTTCATTTGGATTACATCTTGCTACTCCTGTTTAACCAGTTAAGATACTGTGATTTTTCAGGACGACTAAACGTGTTAACGTGATAAGGAATGGCGGGCATATGACGTTTTCAAATCCAAGTCACTTAATCATCGAAGCGTGTTAACCTTGATCTCGACGATATTCGTGTCTATACTCCAGCGTCCAACAAACCGAGCCAATGGAAGAGACGGACAGCTTGTCTTTGATTGATGAGTATTGTGCCACAATCGCATGTGCGTTCTTCTCACCTTTTACCGATGCCAAGATTGCCGACAAGGAAGACGACCACGTGGCCAAAGATACAAGCAAGACACCCATAGCTCATTCGGAAACGATTCAACTGTGAGGGGACCGCGGAGGTTGGAATAGGTGGTGCGCGGACACAAGTGGCTACAATATCGGTCCCATAATACACTTACAGCTTTAGCCTGTTTACAATGGATTATCCTTGTCTCTCTACAGCTTTTAACAGAACTCAGCAAGATTGTTTTAAATATGCAATACCGACGTCAATACAAGCGTCAGCAGACATTGAACCACGAAGATCGGACGTTCCTAACTGTCCTTTCGCTGTAACTCAATCCCACTTCTGATTTTTAAGGGTGGTAGTCGGATAAAAGGACGAATTAAAAGAAGCTGACAGATAAGTGTTCTCAGGCGCAAAATAGACAAAATTGCATGTGTACTACTGGCTTCTTTAACTACACCAATATGATGTAAAAACGCGAGTGCACAATTCGAAATTCTGGACAAGCACAACATCTGGAGGTCGAGGACACTGATAATACATTCCAGGCCGACTGATTCCGGCCCGCGACGAAAAATCATATTAAAGAAGAAAATTTGGATAATAAATCATCTATTTTGACCTTTGCGATGTCCGTGACTGAAAATACAATGGACGTTTACAAGTAGATAGTCTAAACTGT